AACCCAAACCGTTCTATGATTATTTAACTGAATTCAGAGCTTGCAGGATGTAGCCACACTGAATCCTTAAAACACAGGGGCAAAGCTCTGCTTATACACTGCACATTCCTGATATTCCACCCTTATTCCTACTTCCATGTCCTCTAGCTTTTGATGTGCACCTCGCAATAAACCCAAGATTGCTCAACAAGGTATGCAAACAGGACCTGGTACCCCATGGATCACCCGTGTTTCAGGACTGACATACAGAAAAATGGAAAAGAAGTGATACAAAGCGAGATTTCTCGTGTAGTAATTCTCAGTGACGTTCATTTTCGAGAGCCAGGTAAGAAAGTCCTGACAATGGGGTTTACAGGACTTACTGGCTAGGCAAGACTAAGATTTGTACCTCTGCTTTTGTGAGCTGTTCTCGCAGCTTCTCCACTTCCTCACGAAGCTCCCGGATAATGCGAGCGTTGGGGTCTTCGTTCACCACGGCATGATTAACGATGTTCTTGGCCCGGTCTGCGTACCTCAGGGTTGAAAGGGTCTCATCATAGTTGTCGGCTGCTGGGCTTACCGTTGCTACCATGGCAGTCTTGCTGTTACCACCAAGGCTATCCTGGAAAGTGGTAGAAGTTAGGAAATGAAACCAGAAGGCTTCTTGCATTTTACCCAGTCAGTGAACTTAGGCAAGGAATAATAACAAGGCTGGGAGTAGATGGAGCAACTCTTAACAGAAGCATTTTTGTCAGAGCCCCTCAGTTCAAAATTACTGTTTTAAGCTGTGGAAGTCAAGGAAAGTTGTTTCTTCCAACTTTTTTTTTTTTTTTAAAGCACATTTAGGAAATGCCATTCTTGGCTTCCAGAATGAGTTTTAGTTTAAACAGGAATGAAACCAGTCCCTTTTCTGGGGCCTTACGGTGCCCAGTAAATGCTTCAAAGGTTTACTTCTATGTTTTCTGCTTAGGTTTATAAACCAGAAATAGGCACTTGAGCATCAGACTTCCCAGATACTACTGAAGGAGGTCGGGAGAGATCATGATAAATTCAGAATATCTCATATTAAAGACTGGAAGCAAGACATCTCCTGTAAGTATTTAATTTAAAGATCTCCTCATAAATAATATAATTGATTTTATTCTTATAGACATTTCAGAATAGGGCCCTTCCCTTCCCCCCACTGACACAGCTCTCAAATCTAAATCGAGTTATGCAAGAAATTACCCTTTTGGAATTTGGTTGACAGGGAAGAAGGGCGTGAAACCACATTCCTGCAAGGCAGTCTGGCGGGGGAGCAGGGGAAGGAAGGAAGGAAGGAAGCGTTCAATCTTTCTATTGATCGCAAAACTGTGGTTTACAACTTTGGCCAGTCTAAAAGATAAGATATTCTGGTTTAAATTTTGCGGCAAATCTTTTTGTTTGTTTGTTTGTTTGATTGGGGTTTTTTTTGGGGTGGTGTTGTTGTTTTTTACCCAATATCCCTTTCAGAGACGAACCATGCTATTAACTTTCATCTTCAATAACCCATGAAATCTAGGTCAGCCAGGGCCATTAGAACAATCTGACTACATTAGCTGCTTGTCTAACCGTTTCAATTACACAGCACACACATAGCTTTCCCTAGCAATCATTAAAACGCCCCTTGAAGTATTTCCTTAAGACTCTCTTTTTGGCTGCGTGATGCCTAAAATAGTTTGACAGCAGTCTGGCTGCTTCAGTGGCCAGACAAGGCTTGACCACCCAGCCTGACGTTGCTTTGCTGCTGCACTGGTAGCTCTCTGCTAACTCTGGTCAGGGCAAAGGGCTGCGAGCTCTCTGGGGAGAGTAGAACTTCGTTTGTACAGTGTTCAGCACAGCGAGGTACACCTCAACAGCTAGAACTTGCAGGTGAAAGTATTTATAGGGATGTCAGCTGAAGAGGAGACCCTTCTGACTGATAGCGTGGATGTTTTTTCCTCATCTGAGGAGCAGCCCATGTTTACTCCAATAAATACGTGGCTTGGGAGGATCCACTCTGTAACACAGAAATGTTTTTCCAGAGCATCTACAGTGAACTTTGAAAAGACTAACGAGAGCACGTGACTCATTCAATGGGATTTATGGCTTTACAGAAGCTAGGACTTTTCTTCAATACACCAATGGTTTTCAAAAATTAGGAACGACACTGCAATGCAATCCCTGTTCTGTATAAAAAGATGAAGGGGAGCTGGCCAGGTACTCCGCTTCCAAATCAAACCTTAACAGCTTGCACTTTGGGAACCTCCTTCACTGCACTAATTAGCTTCAAAATAGGATTAATTCATTATTTGAATTGCATCTGGGCTGTAGAGGCAGCTGAGAACGCTGTTACAGTGATACACCGTAATCCACAATACACCCATTGTAAACTGGGTGAAGTTCCTCTCGTACTGTGGCTATTCAAGCCCAATGCCAGACTGTCCGATACAGTTTTATACATAAAACTATTGGGCTGATTTCACTAGTTTCTTTAATGTGAAGCAAGAAAGGTAGACAAATAGTAAACCAACCTCTCATTAGTGAAGACAGCATCTGCAAATTACCCTGGAAAGGCTGCGCTTGTGTTTGATAGAGACACAGAGTGGAAATAAATTTCTAGGACTAAAGTAGCACAGTATTCTCCAGCACCAAGACTACTGTGAAAAGAACTGAAAATTTAAAGATTCATAGTTATATTTTGAAAAGCAGCCATCAGTAAAACATACAGGGCTTCTGATTAAAATGGGAAAAGGAGATATTTGTATCAGTAGAACCAGATATAACCAAGAAGCTGAAGAGTTGACAAGCTGTTTTGCATCCCACACACCACCTGACACCACTCTTCAAGCCTCCTCTTGAAGATATTTTGCAATAATATTTTTCACCTGGTACTTTCACCTAAAGATCCTCAACAAAATTAAACACAAAGTGTTAGAACTTGAGGCCTCCTGAACAGTTTGAGTTTCTCAGATTTGTGGAGAGACTCTATAGAGATATTCCTGGTGTTAGAACACATTTACTCCGCTTTGGCATCATAATTCAAAGCTGAAATCTGGAGAGAAAGATAGCCCAGCATCTCATGGCTTCTACAAACAGGCCTCTTTAAATGAAGAACTCCCTCCTTTGATCTTTAATTAAAAAAATGTTTAAATTTTCCCCTTTCAAAATAAAGCATCTCTTCAATGAGCTTGTTTGTAAAAACTCCAAAAGCCCCAAACCTTTTGTTTGCACTTAACATAGCTGGATGTTAAAGACACAAAGAAGGTTGGCTTGAAAGAAGACAGAACAAAAGTGTGCTTCTATGCATGAGCTAAAGCATGCGCTGTGTATGGCCATCGTCACCGTAGCTACAATGCATCAGACAGGTGCTAAACAGGAATTTCAGTCTGCTTGCTGAATTTGTTTAGAAATGGAACAGCAGAACTAATTCTAACAACAACGCTAGAAACGCGTTAGGAAAGTTTCCACTCTGCTTGCTCGGGCTATTACAGCCACATCGGGAACCGAGGCACACATGCCATCGGAGCAAACTGAAGCAAGCTGCATGCTGGTTTTGTTCCCATCTTTGCAGACAGCCAAAAAGCACTTGCTTAATTAGCGTAAAAACTCAGTGTAAATATACAGAGGCAAAAATATATTTAACCCCTAAGAAAGTCTTCGGGCAAGGAACACTGTAATGAGTATTTATTTTACTTGTAGAACAGCACAGACACCATTTCTGTTATGCCACTCTGATTTTGATGCAGCCCTCATGACTGTATTATTTGATGTCCAGTATCTCTGATGTTTACACTGGGGAGAAGAAATAAATCGTTTCACAGTAGTCGTGCTAAAAGGTCCATTAAAGGCACTGAGAAAAATGGAGGCTTTGGGGGTCAAAGGGACCCAAAATGAGTAGAGATGAGTACAGATTTTATTTTACTTAAACACTGAAGTCAACTTCATTTCCAAATCTCCTCAAGGAAAAAGTCTGTTTTAAACTCCACACCTCTACTACCTACAAGTAACTACTACTTTCCACATCTGCAGTTAAACCAGAGGGACGTCAAATGCAAACAACATTTTAAAACGTTGCCGAGAATGGGTGAAGAAGCAAAGCAGAGTATTCAAGACAACAAAATCTGGCCAGAACACCTACAAAAGTGAGGACAGAAAAAGTCTGGCAGTGCCAAAAATCAGTTTCTTCCCATATGATATTTTTTCTACTAAGAAATATCTTAGTTGATCCTTGGTAACAATAATCCAGAGCACAAGTTAAAAAAGGAAACTTGGTAAGTTAGCATTTCTATGAGACATGCTTACGAAGCATCCTGGCCAGCGAATGATGGAAGAGAAAAATTTTAACAAAATGACAGGTTACAAAAATGAAACTGAAGGCACAGAATCACAGAATGGTTTGGGTTGGAAGGGACCTTAAAGATCATCCAGTTCCAACCCCCCTGCCATGGGCAGGGACACCTTCCACTAGACCAGGCTGCTCCAAGCCTCATCCAGCCTGACACAAGTCAGCTACATATGACACCGAATTCAATAATCCTTCAAAGTCCAAGGCGACCAAGACCACTCAAGCTGTACCAGACAAGATAAGAAAAAGGCAAGTCACCTTTACTAGCAGATGAGTTTTTTACAGATAAAAGTGGCTATGTTTGTGCTTGCCACTGCATCAGCGAACGGGAGAAATCCAGATGACAGCTACACCTACGGTCTAGCTCACATTCCTAAGACATTTTGTCATCAGGCTATCATGCTTTATGGTCACTCTATGTAGGAAGTGGGAAGAACAACAAAAACAAAAGCTTGCCTTTTAATTTGCCATACATAAACCTCATACTTAACAACACTCTTTTCATTGAGACCTTACTAGACTGACGCCAGATTTCATCCAAGTGCTACCACGATACGCTGTTTTGTTTTCCCAAAAAGAGTCCTGTGTGGAACAGAAAAAGGTTTAACTGCTCCTTTCACATGAGCATGGTGTACAAAGTCTTCTGACCTGCTCCTCAGACTGTAACTGGGATAATGTCTTGCAATTATACTCTGGTGACGAAAGTAGAGCATATTAACAAATATATTGGACAATTAGGAAAAGGTAATAGTCTTAATCAAAATCTACAAAGCTAACTACATCAGTATGCAAAATTCAGCTGCATGTGGCAATAACCCAAATTAAATTAGCCCCCAGGTTGTGTGTGAAGCTGTATGTTTATGTATGAATAAGGAACTGACCCATAAAAGATAATGCTTTCTATAAATTCTTTCAGAGTTCCTTATTTTTTATGCCACTGCAGGTTGGCAGAAGACAAGGAACATATTTAGTCTGTAGAGATACTAATAGATGACATCCAGCATCAATGAATGGGACTCTTTGCCCCTTTTCCTCCCTTTTATTTCTGTTCAAAAAAACCAACACCCAGATCAGAGTACTTACTTTAAGTAACCAAGTGAGCACAGAATCACGATAAGGAACAAATTTGTTCTTGTTCTTGCCAGCAGCCTGATCTGCCAGGGCAGAAATAACCAGCCCAAGAGTTGTGAGGGATCTGCACACAGAACACAAGCAGGCATTAACAAGTGTAAATATTCATAAGTCAAATGCATATTTAGACAGTCACTTTCTCTCCGCAAATGAGGTCTGAGGAAAAAGTTCCCAGTACAGTTTTGATCATTCTTTTCTCACAGAAGCTCTACGCCCCGATTTCAATATATGCTTTCAGCCTTAATAATCATCTCTTCACAACGCAAACACGTGGTAGTTGCAGGAACACAAGTACAGAATGAAAAACACCAATCATTTTAAGTAGGAGAGATCTCATTCAAGCATCTAAGAGTACTGTATGTCAGAAAGAGAAGCAGCGAGAAGGGAAGCAGCACACCGGCTGCAAGAGCTTATACTGATTTTATCCTAGTTTACTAACTTGCTGTATATAGCAGTCATGGTTTTAATGATGAAAAGGAAAAGAAATAATCAGTCTTACTTGTTAATGTTGCTTCCTTCTTTCAGCCTGTCTCCTGCAGCACCAGTCTTAGTTGCCCTTTCACTACCTGCTAAGTCCACCAGACTCAGCTTGCCCACCTTCTCGCCCGACGTCTGCAGAAGGAACCAGAGAACAGGACTGTTAGTTCACTCAAATTAAGATTTTTTCAAACAAGAATCAAGATTCATTTCTTGGCTCTCTGCAGCTGTTCTAGTGTCTCTGAAAGTCATTGGACTTTTTTACAAGAGCCTGTAGTGACAGGACAAGGGGTAATGGGTACAAATTGAAAACAGGGAGGGTTAGATTAGATATCAGGAAGAAGTTCTTCACAGAGAGGGTGGTGAGGCACTGGAACAGGTTGCCCAGAGATGTTGTGGATGCCCCATCCCTGGATGTCTTCAAGGCCAGCCTGGATGTGGCTTTGAGCAACCTGGTCTAGTGGAAGGTGTCCCTGCCCATGGCAGGGGGGTTGGAACTAGGTGATCTTTAATGTCCCTTCCAACCCAAACCATTCTGTGATTCTATGATTCTATGACTTGAACGGTGTTCTGCGTTAACTCGCTAGCTGCTGCTTTGGGAACAGGAGGGTTTGGAGTCAGATACACTACTGTGTTCAAGATATCTCAGAAATCTCCAGAGGAGAGGACCGCAGGGCACACTGGTAGAATGTTAAACCAAGAAAAAAGCAGAGGTAGCCCAGGCCAAGGAGTCACAAAGCCATGGGGGTCTACAATCCCATCTTGACAACAGTCTTCTAAAAATCTCAGATTTTATACCAAGTTTCTTCTCTGCTTTTCAGAGACGAAAAATGAAGATGACAAGATGTTATTTACAAAAATGATTGCAATTGCAAAGTCTCCTGCATCCTTAACAGCTTCCTAGAAAGCAATCCAAGTTATACGAGTATTTAAACCCGTAACCCAGATTCTGTTACAAATCCTTTCATCTCATTTGACCCAAAATGACATTCTGAAACATTCTATGAATTGCATGACAACTTGAAGTGGAAGATCTAAGTCTTTGAGAACAGTTTGTTCTTCTGCAGCATCTATGACTACAGCACCTCAGTACCACAGTTGCAAAGTGCTGCGTTCCCCTAAATGAACAGGGTAATTAGAATCAATATGCTTTCAAAAATATTCCTCTAAGCCTCTCAAAATACAGTGTGATCATCAGGCCATACTGAAACGTGTCATTTCCAGGACTGAAAGGCAGATGGGAGAACAGAGAAACCTGTTCCAGAAGCTCACACCATGGTCACTGGAGGATGCAGAAAAGACAGACAACCTTGCATCCAGGCTGACCATGAGCACACAAAAAAATATGGATGATAAGCATGCAATACAGCCACAGCAAAAACAGAATGACCAGCTATGGCAAATCAAGGAGTTCAGCAAAGTGACTGCTGATTTGAAGTGCAAAGGGTAGTGACTGAGAAATGAGGAGGAAAAAAATCTAAATGCTCATTGTGCTTTAAATTGTATTCACTATTAAGGCACGCACACACCTTAGATGTGCTCTGTGGACACTCAGTATTTCTCCAGAGCTTTAAAGAATTGTCCAAGCACAGAATCTATCAACTAAGTTTAAAGATTTTTGCTATGGGAGACCTATTTCCATTTTAGATTTTCTGTGAGGGATTAAATAATACAACATAAATGTGTTTCCCACTCCCCTCCAAGGAATATTTACATATAATGATATTTAAATAAAAATACTTCACATTTAAATGTCTTTTAGATATTTTATATATACACATGAAAATATTAATTTATGTCATACAATGCAAAATTTTTGAAACGAGTACGTATTTCTGTTTATAAAGTTGAAGGTTTCATAGAATCACAGGATGGTTTGGGTTGGAAGGTACCTTAAAGATCATCTAGTTCCAACCCCCCTGCCATGGGCAGGGACACCTTCCACTATATATTTATACATATATACATGAAATAACCCCGTGAAGGAGTTTACCAGATGTATACTGAGGTGGTGGTGTCTTTTTCATCCGCCCATTCTATCTTTAGCTTCTGCTCCAAGTCTGTATTACACACAGTTGCTTAAAAAGAAATGTTCTTTACTTTAGATTCTAGGAGATCCTTCCTGCACCCTCCAGCAGGTCTACTGCAACTTGGGGCCTGCATTTTTGCTTTCTACCTCCAAAAATCACACTTCTCTTACAAACCTATTAAAGTTTGAAGTGTGCACGAGCACTGCGAGGACTTTAGACAAAGCCATAGCTAACCTGATCCAGTGCTAGCAGTGCACAAGAGCAGGAGACGACCGAATGACCTTCTGAAGTCCCTTCCAACCAATGTTAGTATGAAATATATTAAAGAAGCGACACAAGCTTAACATTCAGACCTTGTAACTTGTTTTACTTACCCCTGATTGTACATCATAGAGTGTGTGGGTGAGGATAATCTTGAAGACTGCATGGGACCGACTGCTCTCCTCATTCATGTTGGTTGCAGCCACTGTTCGAGATTTGTTGCCCTCAGACATCAAGGACTCGATGTCCTAGGTACAATTTTCACAGCCATAAGCATATCTGCATTAACAATCTTTTCAATTATGTACCACAACAATCTCATTTTAGTAAAATACAGCAAGTATTTTCCTCACAAAGTTTCCCACTGTTTATTCATAAAGTGTGAGAAATAACGATATTGTGATCTCCCCTTTAAAGACTAGAAATCACATGACATTGTCACATGCATATTCATCCACTACCTCTACCTAGATATTAAATTACCAACAGAAATAATGCACCTGGCTGCACACTGCAATACTCAAAAGGAAAGAAGAAAGTGAGGAAACAGCAATTTGTGTTTTAACACGGCAACACTGTAGTCTCAGCTGTCAAATGCACGTTCCTGAAATCTGTAATACTGACATAAACCTCAAAGTTTCATAAAACAGAACCACACAGAATGGGTCATTATGTTCCTCCTACAAATAAGAGCTTATAAAGTCTTCTGGTATGTTGAGATACTTTAAAATATGCAGCTCCCCTGCTTCAGTGTTTTACAGCAATCCTGTAAAATAGTTAAAACTTTAGAGCCTTGGGCTTTAACTTCTACTTAAGCATCTCTAGCTGGATGATGCTAAAAAAAAACCCAACAACCAAAACCAATCAAACAAAAGCACACCACAGACCACTGTGACTCTGCATGCTGTACCACAAAAAAGCTGCCAGGCAACATGTAAAGAAAAAGCACGCAATGTGTCCTGTCTTAACAGAAACCACCACGGAGCAGATGATGAATACCTGGAGGGGCTGCAGGAGGAAGGGCTGCACCATATTCCTGTTTTGCTTAAGATGGAAGAATTCCATCCTATATTTATATTCATTTCTCCCAAGGTACATTAATGCATTTTAAAGATTTGGGCTTTTTGTGAACACATATATTGACCCCACCTGGAGTGCTGCGTCCAGCTGTAGAACCCTCAACATCAGAAGGATATAGACTGGTTGGAGCGAGTCCAGAGGAGGCCACGGAGATGCTCCAAGGGCTGGAGCACTTCTGCTATGATGAAAGGCTGAGAGAGTTGGGCTTGTTCAGCCTGGAGAAGAGAAGGCTCCAGGGAGACCTTATTGCAGCCTTCCAGTGCCTGAAGGGGCTACAAGGAAGCTGGGGGGGACTTTTTACAAGGGTCTGTAGTGACAGGACAAGGGGTAACGGGTTTAAATTGAAAGTGGTGAGATTGAGATGGGACATCAGGAAGTTCTTCCCAGAGAGGGTGGGGAGCACTGGGACAGGTTGTCCAGAGAAGCTGTGGATGCCCCATCCCTGGATGTCTTCAAGGCCAGGCTGGATGGGGCTTGGAGCAACCTGGTCTAGTGGAAGGTGTCCCTGCCCATGGCAGGGGGGTTGGAACTCGATGATCTTTAAGGTCCCTTCCAACCCAAACCATTCTGGGATTCTATGATTCTATATAAACATTTGCTACCCAGCAAGCAAGTTCCATGCAATGTTCTCAAGTGTTTGCCTTTTCAACAACCTTTAGTTTGTAATTCCAGTGTGCCTGTGTGCTACCAGCATGTGGAATTACTGGGTAGCAGCATGACAGCCAAAAAGTGACAAAATGTGGTACTGAAAACCTGTGTCTCCTAAATCCCGGTTCTGTAATTAATCACAGAACACTATTCCTCATGGATATACCCTACACTCATCTTAAGTTTAGGAGGAAAGCTGTTAAATAGCTGAATTACTCCCAGAATTACTGAATAGTACAGGATGAAGATGAGTTTCTGCTCTCCCTGGTGATCACAATACAACAATCCTACAGCTCTCTTGCTCCAAAATCCATGTTACTGCCATGGCAATCAGGAGGAGATTAACAATTTTGTCCTGTTTAAGGGACAGCACCCTGGTGTTCAGGATGTCAACACAAGCCTTGCATAAAATTGATCCTTACCTTGTAGCTAGCAACAGCTAGTTTGGATAGGCCATCTACGTAAGGACCATAAACACTGTGTTCTCTAACTTTTAATGACTGACGGCTTCTGGGTGGGAAAAAAGAGTTATTTGTAAGCACATGACTGATTTAAGACAACATTTATAGAAAGTCAATTTCTCACTGACAGATCTCAAGCACGATGGTCTTACAAATACGTAACAAGGACGTATATATAATAAAGCACGTAACAAGGACTATACCAATTTCTCACTGACAGATCTCAAACACGATGGTCTTACAAATACCGTAATAAAGCACGTAACAAGGACTATAATGCAAACAAAAAAGCTTGATGTCTACACGTAAAATGCTGACATAGACATTTTTGTCACTATAAAAGCTAGCATTAGGGTGAGTTTACTCCAAGCTTCTAGTCTTTCATTTTAAATCAAAATAAAGTAGTAAGGACACCAAGATCAGGAATAAGCAAAAGCCATCCTACACAAATGCTTCAGATGGGATCCATTAAGGCAAACTGGTTATGGAAAGGAAGAGTGTACGACAGCATATTCCAGTGCTGTTTAATATGCTGTTTACACCCAAATCACCCTTCCTTTTGGGTCAAGAAGATCTCTGACTTTCTCATTGTAGATCTCCATGTAGGAGACTTCCACTTTGAAACTCTGCTCTTCATTCTCCTCTTTCTGTGCTCTTTCAAAGAGTCCACTGCAAAGTCTAGGGATTAATCCAGGCTGGTCAGCAGTACCCATCATTGTGTATGATTTTCCAGATCCTGTGTGATTGAATCTATGATTAGTGTACATGCCACACAGTTTCTTGCTGTGCGGAAGATGGAAAGGAAATAGAAGAAGGTAAAAAACCAATTTGCATTTCAATGAAAGGTATTCACACAGTCTTCTGTTTTAAAGCAACCAAAACACTATTTAGCTAAAGTCTATTTAATTAAAAGGAAAAGCAAAACAAGAAGTTTATTTCAAACTGACAGACAAGACTTTTTCAGGGAGGTCTTACTGCAGATGACAACCCACTGATACCCACATATTTGCCACCAGGAGAAAAATTATCTGCGCAGGCTTACTAATTTTCGCACATTACATTTAAAATGACTGTTAAAGGCTATTCCAACTACAGAGGCAGAAAATATGAGTGATGCACCGAACTCAAGGACAGTCATGATCATTCCAAACATGCTAGATTAGGTGTGAGAAATAAGGGTAGCCAGCACCAACCGACAATATCCTGTTTCTCATCCTTTCTACCTCCTATCTAATGGTACAAAAGCAAAAAACAATCCTTATCTACATTACAAAGTACTTCTCCTGAAACAGTGTCACAACAGCCGTGAAAAGAGCCTCCAGCCAGAACAGTTAACACCTTTTGGGCCAACAGTATTTTTTGCCTACGTCCAGAAGGGACTTACCAGTCTGCCCATAGGCAAAGATGCAAGCATTATAGCCTTCAAAGGCATTCTGAAGAATATTCTCCCCAAGGCACTTGAAAACAACATCTTGACCTAAGAAATAAAACACATAAGCTAACATTGTAATGAAGGAAGAGATTCTTTTTTCCTTGATTTGGATTCTTCAACAATAATGTAAAAGCAGTTAGTTTTTTCCTGCTGCTGCTGCCTAAATAGCATCCTATTTGCTTCCTCTACAAGAGCAAGACCATCAGCCAGTAGACGTGCTCCAGATTCATGCTACTATAAAAAATCAGAAGGCACGATTCTCACACACATACCCGTATGTGCTTCAAACAACATCCCATCAGTGGTCATACTCCAAAGGTTTATCCGCAGAAAATCTACTACCAACTGCAGAATTTAACCCACTGGTGAGTGACACCACCTCAAAATATACCCAACCTGTACATTTTAGCAACTGTCAGTTGATTTTAATCTAGGGCATTTAGTAGAGCCCTAGATAGTATCTTATGAGTATGCAATAAAATTCATACCATGAGGGTATTTTTGCAGAGAAGGAATCACAACTGTGCAGCAGAAATTGTAGTACAACATACGCATTACCAAAATACAGTGTTTATCACTTCTTTTGTAATTGAACTAAATCTGTAGGAACAGCTTTTCGGCTCCCTTTCCAAGCAGAGGAAGAAACACTTAGTATATTTGGGTATTATCTATTTAAACAAAACTTTGAGTTTCAGAATTTCTTTTACAAGCAGAGGAAATAAAATCTGAACAAGACAAGACAGAACTTTATGGACTGAAAAGTCCTCTCAACAAGTGTCACAGTTTTCTTTTGTCGCAGTTCCTCACTAAATTACAATTCAGTAGTTACTTCTTAGAGCATCTGAACTCTAAGAACATATGCACCTTCTATTTTTCCTGTGCTTTTTTTTTTAAATAAATGTAAACAAGCTTAACTGATTCCAAATTTTAAAAGGTAACAAGTATGAAATATCACGAGTGGCAAGTCCAAATAGATTTCATATTTTACCATAACTGTTTACCAAAATGTGCCATAATAATACATAGAAAACTCTTAATTAAATCCATTACACATTCTCACCAGACCATATAAATTCATGTGCCCCTATATTTAATTAGGCTTTTTTTAATACTCCATTATTAAGTTCTAATATGCCAACCTCCCATCAGCATGGTGAAACATGAAATTATATGTAATTTCATGTTTTTTTCATGTAATTTCCGCAATGTTCCTCAAATCCTGAAAAGAAATGGATTTGATGCTTTTAAAATGATGGACTTAGCACAGTATTTTAAATAAAGATGTAGACACGAGTAACCCGTTATCGTGATGGATTTCTCAGTTTCCTACACTGCAAACGGGTAGCAATGCCAATTGCTATTATCATCTTCAGAGACGGGAAACAGGAATGGCTGATGGTTTTCCCCGTTCTCGTGACAACACGCGGCCGAGCAGGGGAAGGCAGTCGTGCCATACGGTCTGTGCCCTGCAGCAACCGCCGCACTGTAATTAGATTGTTCACACTCGGAGACAACAAGCACAGAGCTACAGTCAATATTACCTGCATATTTTTCTTGGACAGATTCATCCATAGACCAAAAGCAGTGATCGTAAGCAAACACCTGTAGGAAAATAACCAGGACACCTTACACAAACTCGCCGTCAAATCAAACGTGTCATCCACATCTTGACAGTGCTCTACGATGCTGGCTAACACCACGCTCCGCGGGGCCATTCTGAACACAATACACATTCCCACAGAATCCCTTATTTTCTATGAGTTTGAGGTCTAAACAAACACCGCATCTCCTGACACACAACCCTGTTGCTTGCTTTTATTTGTTCCTTGGGTCCACTTTTTTGCTTTCTATTGCATGAATCCTATTCCATGCTCTCCGTGTGGCAACTGAGTGGATGTCAAGGAGCTCTTCTCATCCTCCTTTAAACCCATCCTTGCAATTTGTTTTTCACAAGATTTTATTTTGCAAACTGACAGATGTCCCCTGGCTGTTCCCGTCTACCATCTCCCAGTGTCTCTTGTCTGCATAAATTAAAAACATGCCTTAGGGTAAGAAGAACCTCTTTCCATACAAGAGGAGTACATATTTATATACTGCTGACAAACAGAAGCAGCCAGCATCAAAATCTAATAGTTGTACGAAACAATATAGAGCAAATTAGTTTCTTCATGAGAAGATTAGCACTACAATCTTTTTGAACAGAGAATTTTGTGGGAAGGCCATTTAAAGGTCCACAGGCACCTTTCACCATGAAAGCTGATCTCCAATAAGACAGTGAGTATTTTGGGACCTCAGGCTGCAAAAAACGGCCATTTGCAAAAACACTTCTGGATACATACTTGTAAGGAAAAAAAAAAAACCAAAGCAGGGTAATATCTGACTTACAATCACATTGGCAAAATTTACTCAGCAGGCTATAAGAAAAGGGAAGTGTAATGTGTCAATCTTTGGCTGTTTATTTCTTCCCTAAGCTTAACAAAGCTGCTCTTTCCCCTTTAGAACCATGAACTAGCATGTGCACAGGTAATAAAACTCACCATTTCTTAGCCAGTGCAGACTGTAGTAACAAAATATGCTGCATCGTTATCTATATTAATCATGAGAAAAGCCTAAAAAGACATACTGAGTCTGCAGTGCATTTCCTCAGTTATAGCATGTCCTAATACATCATGTCATGGAATCTGAAAAATCATTTATGGACTCAAGGAGCAATAAAGTGAATTTTCCTCAAGTATTTAACTAAAATAATTAGAAAAACTATGCAAGAGTCAAAAATCCATACTAACAACACATCCAAACTTACTACCTACATTTATGAAAATGCTTAGTATAGCAAAATGCTTGAAATTTAAGTAACTTACCTTCAAAATTACAGTGTCTTTCCCCCCCCACACCCACCCACCCACTACATTAATTTCCCAGCATTAAAAGTACAAAGTAGTTATTTTACAGGTTTAAATTAAGGAAACAACAGCCTGTTTATTTAAGATTAAGATTTTGGTTCTTTGAATTTATTATACGATTAAGGATATTATTATAACATCCCATGCCTTCAGAGCGTTTAATAGAACAGCACTGGCTACATGAGCACATCAATTAAGCCGAATCCTGATATGCTGGGATAGATATCTGCACACCAAAGAAAGAGTCATGGGATCGTAAGCCGTAACAACAAAATGAGTTTGCTTTAACACAAATACCAGAAAATGCTTTTAAAAGCCCACAAATAACAAGTAGCCTTCCACTCACAGTCTGTAACGCTGAGTATGTATGTTCTCATTTGTTCCTGTGACTCATTTTTTGGCAGAGGCAAACACAGTGCTCTTCTGCAGCAAGGAGATGCTTTGAGTTTCTTACTCAACAGCTGATCAACTACAGAGCTGTTTTTCAAAATGCTTTTAATATTTGGATAACCCAAAACTGAATAAGCAATCTGACAGTTTTCCACGCACTGATTTAACATGCAATAAAAGCCCTTACCTTGGGTTGGGTCCTAGTGTTCCTCGAAGAATCAGGAGACGAAAGGATTTAGTACAGGGTTAGGGTAAAAAAAAGAAAACAACAAAAAAAGAGTCTGTTAGTTGTAGTGATTTTAATTTAATTACTACATCATTGGAATGCTGTATTTATGAAGTTCATTTCTCTCCTCAGATCTCCCCTTGCTTAACATATCCCAAGTCATTTTATAAACCAACGTTTCTCTCTTTTAAAGAGTAAAATTGAAGATGCTGCTCTGAATAAGTTTATTTTCAACTCAAAGCCACTGACTTTCCTCTTGTTGCCACCATCTCGTCCCCATTCTCTCTCAAGTTGTTCTTTTCCTTGTGCCACCTCTCTCTCCAGTTTTGCGGGTGTCGCTGTCTTAAAAACAAAGTACCCAAGCAACGTAAAAATTTCCAAAACCACTTCAACGGGAACATCAGGGGAGTTATTCAGGAGGAAATTTCAGAGCCCAACCCTCAGACTTGCCCAACTCAGTTCTCTCACGGTTGCTGGGACAGCAGAGCAAACATTTGTTTCCCTAAAAGAATGAGCAGAGAACAGCAATTCCTTCGATCTGTTAATGTGCATAATTTAAAAGTTTGTTTAAGTTTGGGGTTTTTTGTTTTGTTTTCAAAAGTTTGTTTAAGTCTGGGGTTTTTTGTTTTGTTTTTTGGTGGGTTTTTTGGTGGGTTTTTTGTTTGGTTGGGTTTTTTTGTTTTTCTTGCTTTTTAAAAAATTTTTTAAACAAGTACAAAATTACTGGAGTGACCTTTAAAATAACGGTATAACAACAGTCACTGCCCCGAGCGCAGGTTACGCTGCCCTCCCACACACTGCAGAAACACAGCAAACACACAACAACAAGGAACCAATATTTTCCTTGTCCTGGCCCTTCCAAAGGAGATTAGGAAGCTCTTGACATCAGTAAGAAGTCTTGTGACAAGCATCACTGATTTCTTTTGAACAGAGCAGGAGAAGGACGTGGAAGCCATACAAGATTACTCTGAGTTCTTGCTGCTCATACAGGTTGAGAAGTGAATTTAAGAATAGTAATTTCTCAGCATTTCTCTCTCAAAAATAATTATTTATTAAGCAAGTCCATCATCTCTTTTTACTCAGGCTTGGATCTCATATGCACATCTGTTTGACATAACAAATATGCATATGAGATCCAAGCCTGGATGGTGACTTTGGATCGCAGCGGTTGACACGACCTGCAATGCAGGATTATTTGAGTCAAGGTTACTCCGTGACAACCATGTTGCGGGGTCATTTGGGTAAGCAACAACAACATGACCACTTTTCCCCTGCCATCTGGCTGAGTTTGAGTAAAAGCTCTGCCAGGCTCCTCGGCAGCATGCTTGGTGCAGCCTCTCGACTGTTGCGGTTGCTCCTGGGTGGGTCACGGATATGGAAGTGTGTTGAAGGCATCTCCTTCACCGGGGCTTTGACCCAAACACAGAAGACACCAGAGCCCATCGGGATTATTACAAGAGAAATGCAAGAGCATTTTATTGGCTTTCTATGCTCTGAAATGCTCATGGAGTATTTTGCTGAAGGACTTTTGCTGAAGCCCGTATCCTAGGTAGGATCAGAAGCGTGGCCAGGGGGGCGAGGGAGGGGATTCTCCCCCTGTGCTCTGCTCTGGTGAGACCCCACCTGGAGTGCTGCGTCCAGCTGTGGAGCCCTCAACATCAGAAGGATATAGACCGGTTGGAGCGAGTCCAGAGGAGGCCACGAAGATGCTCCGAGGGCTGGAGCACCTCTGCTATGATGAAAGGCTGAGAGAGTTGGGCTTGTTCAGCCTGGAGAAGAGAAGGCTCCGGGGAGACCTTATTGCACCTTCCTGTACCTGAAGGGGCTACAAGGGTGCTGGGGGGGACTTTGTACAAGGGTCTGTAGTGACAGGACAAGGGGTAACGGGTTTAAATTGAAAGTGGGGAGGTTTAGATTAGATATCAGGAAGAAGTTCTTCCTGGAGAGGGTGGGGAGGCACTGGGACAGGTTGCCCCGAGAAGCTGTGGATGCCCCATCCCTGGGAGTGTCCAAGGCCAGGCTGGATGAGGCTTGGAGCAACCTGGTCTAGTGGAAGGTGTCCCTGCCCATGGCAGGGGGTTGGAACTAGATGATCTTTAAGGTCCCTTCCAACCCAAACCATTCTATGATTCTATGATTCTATGACTTCACTGGGGGGTGCTAAGTGGCCTTTAGGTGTGCTCCTGCTCACAAGGCAGGCTTATTCCTCTTCCTACAGGAAGACCATTCCTGTCGTAAAATAAAGAGAATAGCAAGCCTGGATTCTGAGTTTAAGTTTAGCACTCAGATGTGATGCTGCTCTGAACCCAGCAAGTAGTTATGCTCATATGTCCCAGCCCAGGTCCAAGGCAGGATTATATTGGAACAGTGATCTTTCCAGGATGTATTATTGAGTACGCAGATTAAAGCAGCAATATAGATATCATCTCAGTAGTCCCATGCCATATACAATTTTAAGAGGGTGGATTATGCTATGTAAATCATCAAGCTTAGTTCAGACTAAAGGTCTTAACCGTCTCATTTTCTAAAGAGCTGCACAAACACACAAAACCATGTCTCCCTTGCAGTTTCTCTTAATTCAAATGTGAATAAAGGGAAGCCCTGTAATCAAGAAGCCCAGTGTATAGCACTTAGGGTACAGCACATCTAGAGATGCACCTTGTCCTGTGTACTTTGGACCAAAAGGAGAATAAATCGGACAGAGAGTTGCCTAAGGAAAGCATTAACGGTGCACACTGTATTACGCAGCACTGTGCTGTGCCCATACAAACCCACTAATGCTGCAGCCGTGTGCTGCAACAGCTGGGCCCAGAGACCCAAGAAAAGCTTTTTAGCCTGATTCAAAATCCTGTGGAAAACTGACAGACACAGTGATACTGCACCCACAGCAGCCTGCTCGGCTACAAGCACACACTGGGAGCGTTGGGCGTTTAGAGGAGGCTCTGTGGCCAAGTACGATGCATTGCTACAAGCCAGAGGTGGTGAAAAGGTAAATGCCAAGCAACACCACCACATACAGAGCAGGGAAGCATCTGCTACACAAAATATGGAGAGCAGTAACACATACAAAGAACATTTCCTTT